TCCTATGTATAATTTCTCAGTAGGTTGTAGGAATAATATGGTTCTCACTGGTTTTCAAAGCTAGCTAGGCATAGTTTATCTCTCATATTGTCTCAACCCTCCATCATGGTTTTCCCTCTTAAGGTGCCCCCATTGCCCCCCTTTATCCCATAATAATACCCTTCTCCTGTGGACCTACCTCTCTTGAGCATCTTCTTTCCCTTTAATGCCTTAGGTTCCTTGTATATCCTTCCCTCCCCCTCCCTTAAACTAACCCAGTTTTTATCCATATCTCCTTTATTAAGGCCTGTTTCCTACTGTTCTTCTCTTTCAGGTTATTTCTTTTCCCTTACCTCCCTGTTTCCTTTCCATTATCCTGGTTACTGTAGTTATGTCTGGTTGCATACTTATTTATCAGAATCTGGTTCTAGGATCCACATATGAGGGAGAACATATGTCTATTTTTTTCCTGAGTCTTTGTTGCTTCACTTGTATAACAGTTTCTAGTTCCATCAATGTACCTGCAAATTTCATGATTTCATCTTTATTTACTGCTGAGTTGTTGGGACATGCTGTCCTGACCTCCATCTGCACCTCCCCTGCAGTGACCTTTTGGGCCTCGTGGTTCCTCATTCTCAGAGTTGTTTACCAGCTCATTTTTGGTATCAGGTCCTGAGAACACCATGACCTGGCACCGACCCTGCGGTCATGTGATGGCTCCCCCGCCCGTTGGGTCAGCTGCCTTCTGGGCTAGGGTATAAAAGCAACCTGGGGCTGAGAAATAAAGGCTTCTTCTGCTACACTAAAAGTGTGATTGTCTCTTCAATCCTGACGTCCTCCGCTCAGAGATCAGCTTCATGCCTCGCAGGCGTTGCAATTGGAGGTCCCACCGAGATCTAAGAAAGAGAGGTAAGCGGACAGGGTCATCCCAGGCTGGCAGGGATGTATTGGGGTTACCATGGGTAATACTAGCAGTAAACAGGAATTGCAATATCAGGTTAAGAAACTGCTAAAAGAACAAGGAACAGCAGTAAAAACAAAGACAGTAGACACATTCATTAAAACAATAGCAGAGGCCAGTCCCTGGTTCCTAACTAGAGGGGGACTAAATATCCCTGACTGGGAACAAGTAAGACGGGATTGTCAAAAGAAGTTGCAAAAGGAAGGCAGTGATACCTTCCCAATAGCTACATTTTCTTTGTGGCATCTGGTTAGAGATGCTTTATTAACAGACAAAGTGAAAGTAAGACAAGAACTTGAGGCAGTGAAGGAAGTTTTGTAAGAAATACAGGAGGTGGAAACCCACCGCTCTTTGGGATCTGCTGATGATCTAGACCAGGAAAGAGGGGCATGTGGAGGTTCAGGAGTCTTAAGCTCTGCCACATCAAGACCACATAAACTGGGTCCCTATGACCCTGAATCTCCTGAAAGTAGTGAGGGAAGCTCAGAGGAAGAGGAGGAGGAGATGCTTCACAAGGAAATACAGGAACTAAAAACAAAACTAAAACTTATCAGGTTAAAGGAAAAGACACATCATCC